AAATGGAGACAGGTAGTGGTGATGGCTACACAGCCGAGCAAATTACGATGCTGCCTCAGAAGGTAGACTTAAAGGATAAATGCATTTTGATGAAAAATGAAAAATGAGATCCAGGCATAGCTTCCCCCCACCCCCCGCTAATGTTTTCATTAACTTTTTGAAGAGTCCTTGTCTGCATCAACTTAAATTTTTTTGCATGCAGATTAACCTTCCATTCCATTTCTCTTGACTGTTTTGAAGTTCCTTCACTCTTCATGCTACTCTCAGTGTACTTAAAGGTAGGTAAAGCAGCAGATCTTAGTGTGTGTATCCCTCTACAGTTACTGAGAACGGATAGGCCAGTCAACCGAGTGGCTTAGCTGGGGGCTTGGTGGCCGCTGACCACCTGCTGAGAGCCGGGTGCCAGGCCCAGAACCAGCCTTTAGATGGCCATGGTGAGGCCTAGCGGACCCGTTACATGGCGGGACCAGCTGAGACTCGGAGTGGCAGTGACTTCCAAGTCACGCCTTGGAAGAATGAGGCTAGCATTTGGCCCCAGGGTCTTCTTGGTCCATTTCATCATAGAGGTGGAGGTCTGATGGGAAGCTGAAGGATTGGGGACCAGTTTGCTTTTTACTTTTTCCTAGTGGACTAATGCCTTAATCCTATAAACTGGGTGACAGATAAAAATCAAATATCTTTCTCATGGTTCAGAAGGCTGAAGGCTGCTTGAGTGTCTGGCTACTTCCTGGCTCATGGGTCGCTGTATCCACACTGTGTTTTCTTGTTCATGGCTGCTTCCACAAGGCCACCAACCCTGTCCCTGAGGGCTCCGACGTCATGACCTCCAGCTCCTGATGCCATCAGCGGAGGGCCTAACATTCAAGACCATCAACACTTTTTTAAAAAACATACTAATGTTTGTAAATCAGTTCCGGAAAGGAAGAATCAAAGAGCTGCTGCCTCCCTGCCCAGAAGGCTGCCATGGCCAGAGCAAGGCCAGAGGAGAGCTGGCAACCAGGAACTCCTTCCTGGTCTCGCCCTTGAGTGGCAGGAACCCCAGTATCTGCCCAAATGCATTCACAGGTAGCTGGAACAAAAATGAAGCAGTTGGGACACCAGCGGCCACGCCTGGCGGCTGCCAACTTCACAAACAATGCTTTTACCCTTGGCACCACAAAGCTCCCAGACTTTAGCATTCCTCATCGGCTCAGTTCTCACCTTACCTACCCGTTGAGGAGCAGGGGTTACATCTGAAATGGGCACCTGGCGGTGGTGGGTGGGGGCGCAGAACTTCCTGGAGAGAGGTCACTGAGCAACAACCTCCCCCTGCCTGCCTCAGGGTCCCAGACAAGGGTTTCTAGTGTGCTGTGTGACCCAGCTGCCCAGGAAGTGACTGTGCCAGCTGTCGCTACTGCTGCTGATGCCTGCATCTGCTCCCCAGGAGAGGTGCTTTGGGTCAGATAAAGAAGGCGTTTTTCTTAATCGCTGCTTTCACAGCTCCTGCTCCACCAGGCATGCCCCCAGCAGGAGCCCTTCAGCCTTAGGTGTCCTGGCTTCACAGAAGCCTGCATGTTCTCACGTTGTCCTTCTCCTTTCTGATCAGGTCTCTCTTTGCGAGTTTTGTCCTTCTTGGTTCCCAACATTCTCGAATGGGTGCTTTTGTTTCTGCCAGTGGAAACTTCCCTAACCAGTTATCAGTGTTCTAGGGCTGTGCCCCATGCTTGAGGCATGGTCTCCTCGGTCTGGGTCTTTCCACATTGCAGAAGGCACCACATTTGGAGCACGTGGCCGGGAGCCGCGCAGGTGGCTGAGCAGTGATGGAGAGTCTCGTGGGAGCCTCAGGGATGACCACCTGCTTTACTGTCACATGGCTGCATCTGGTACATCCATGTGAGCTGATGAATGACTGTGTCTTGAGTGGGTTCTTGAAAATACAGTGGTTCCAGGTTGGGGAAAAAGCACCCATAGTGAGATGAACTTGTGTGAAACGCTTGAGTAGTTTCTCAAGCTGTCTGACTTTTAGCAAGTTGGCCAGCATAAGAGAAGATGTTTGGTCTTATTTCCCAGGTTCCAGTCACTTCTTCCCCAGGAACAGAGTTGATGGCGTTCCTTGTGCTATAGAAAGAAGCAAAACAAAACAGAATACCTTCACATTTAATTCTGAACTGCTGGAATCCAGCTCCAGCTGAGGGTGCGTGGATGAGGCGCAAAGAGAAAAAAATATGGACCACTACAGTTTCATGATCATAATGGACAAAGTGGGAAAGCTGTCTGCTTTACTTGTACAGAAACAATCAAACTGGCTCAAGTGGGTGTTTCCAAGGATAATTCTGCTGTTTGTTTCACCTAAAAACAGTCGAAGTTCCTACTACGATTTTTATTCTACAACTCAATTTTGTATCACAAAGAAAAGGAGAACCTAAAGATCAAGGAAAGAATACAGGTCCTAAATACAGGTCCCTTGATTAGCATAAGGCCAATGGGGACAGCCAAGGCAGTAGGAATAATAGAAGGCCCTTTTGCAAGACTTTATTATTGACATTAACCTCTAAGCTCACATTGAGTAAAAAGGCCAACTCCACAGTAGCAAACAATGCCTGGATGGATTAGAATTCTTCCACAGGGTGGTCCGATGTCCATGCAAAGGAAGGTAGAGCTGCATTCAGGTGGTTGTAGAGACCCTGCCTGCAGTGGAACAATACTCTACACACCTTCGTGTCCCCCACATCCACTGCACGGACCCCAGCACTGAGCGTAGTGAACTGTTGCTGTAACATCCAGGACCATGTGAAGGAACAAATCCTAGTGCTTTCACCTAGACACAGTTTGCTAGCATTTTGGTGTGTGTTTTATTATACGCATATACTTTTAAAAAAATGGAGATCTGACTGTTTCTCCCGGCATTGAACCAAAGGCATACGAGCATTTACCATGTCATTAAACTATTCTTAAAAAACATCTCAGAAATAGGCCATAAGTTGTTTGAAGACTGGCTTTGTAGTTTTTGCGGTATCATACATAATTCATTCTGTCCTCATTTATGATTATTACCTTGGTAGAGAAACTTAGGCCTGTACAAAGGAGCTTTTGCATTCATTAGGTCTGGATGAATTACTTTCTGAAAATCTTGAACAGAAGCCAAAATTCCTCTAGGATGGTGTGTATTATCTTTTACAAATAACAGTGGTGTGTACAAGGGCAAAGCAGCACCCCATTGGCATCTGAATTTTTTAAAGATTTATTTTTCTTGCAAAGTCAGAGAGGAAGATCTTCCGTCCAATGATTCACTCCCCAAGTGGCCACAACAGCCAGAGCTGTGCCGATCTGAAGCCAGTAGCTAGAAAAGCCTCTCCCAGGTCTCTCACACGGGCACAGGGTCCCAAAGCTTTGGGCCGTCCTGGACTGCCTTCCCAGGCCACAAGCAGGGAGCTGGATGGGAAGTGGGCTGCCAGGATTAGAACCGGGGCCCATATGGGATCCTGGGCATTCAAGGCGAGGACTTTAGTTGCCAGACCACACTACCGGGTGAGCCCCTGAATTTCTTTCGAGGCTCATTGCCATTGAGCACTTTTTCAGCCACCTGCATTTCCTCTGTGAGCTTCTAGCATTTTTTAGTAAGGGCTGAGTGACCGTTGGTTCATTGCAAATCTTTCTGCACTTGATTCACATTTTTTAGATTGTTGTAAATGCACGTGGCCAGTTCTATACATTTCTATCAGTGCCACGTTCCTTATAAGATTTGAGGTTTTTTTGTTTTTTTTTTTCCTGAATTTAGGGCTTTTTTCCTTTGATAAAAGTCAGAGGAGATGAAGAGAGACCTGCTTTCTGCTGTTTCAGCCCCAGTTGTCTGCAGTGGCCATGTTGGGCCAGGCAGAAGGAAGGCGTTCCCCTGGGGTCTCAGAGGTGGGTGGCAGGATCCCAAGACGGCTTATCTTCTGCTTTCCCAGGCCGTTAGCAGGGAGCTTGATCAGAAGTGGAGCACTCTGGCACCTCTGTGGGATGCAGGCTGTAACTGTCTCAATGTCAGCCCCAACTTGAACTCGTTGGATTGACCTCTAGTCCTCTTTCTAGACTGTCGTTTCCCAGTGTCAGCTGCAGTCTGGATTACAGTAACTTTGAGCCTACCTGGTTGCCTCTTCCCAGCATCCTTTGTCACTTAACTTTCCAAGATTCCATTTGGTGAAAAGACACTTGGGCTTTTAGTGCAAAAAATAAGAGGATGAGTAGGATATGTAGGATGCATTTTGCACAAAAAGTGAAAAACAAAAAACACTTTGCACAGTTATAAAAAGCCGGGCAGGGCATTTTGCTAGATACCTTCTCTGCCAGCTGAAGAATCCACAGGACCGCGGGTTGTAATAAAAAGGACTCATTCTGCACTCCCAGATTCCTGTGTTGAAAGAGCTTGTACCATTTCCAACCCAGATGCTTCCTTCTGGCTGATACGTGTGGCTACTTCCTGGCTTATGTGATTATTTTTACAGCCACAGTGTCATCTGTAGGTGGCACAGGTGCCCATCTGCCTCCTTCATCTGGGCTGAACACCCAAGCATTTCCTCAACTGTTGAGACAATCCCCAAAAAGGCTTGCTTTCTTTCTCTGAAGTACTATTTTACGCTCAGCCCTAGAGATGATGATGATGAAGTGTGTGTTTCATTTATTTGATGTTTGTGCCTTGCTGAGCAGTTCAGAAAGCCTGGACCCGTGTACACTCATATCACTTCTGTTTTCACAATGCAATTGTTCTGTGTCTTCTCGTGCCATTGGCTCACCTGGAGTCTTCCCCAGAAGTACTTTGGAAGTGTCAAGTTCTGTGTTCTTGTCGGCCAAGAACGGAACAAGTCGGCCATTTCCAACTTGCAGAAGAGACGCAGGGGTTAGGCTCAATGCTTCTACTCCCTTTCTGCCCTCAGCATTCCTTGGGTACCTCAGGACACACATCTCTCGTGGAGTCCCTCGCTTCCCCTAGCCTGCCCTGGAGTTGTTGGCCGTGAATCCCACCCTGTCTTTTGTCTCAGGCAGGAAACGTGGTGACGGGAGAGATGGTGGAGGAGCTTATTCTTTCTGGGGCCGACATCATCAAAGTGGGAGTTGGACCAGGTAAGACGCGCTGAGAGCCCAGGGGAACGTGTTGCAGGGAGGAAGTGGATCTGCACTGGGGGGGTCTGGGATGGCTGGATGGGATTGCAGGAGGGACTCGGCTGTGGATCTGAGCTGCCAGGAACATGGCTGATAAATCCCTGAGGGAAGTGTCACAGAACTGCTCCCTATGTCCCCTGGGATCTTTATTTTCATTTTTAAGTGTCAGTCTATTTGGAAAGTGAAGTTAGAGATCTTTCAGCTGTTGCTTCACTCTTCAGGTAACTGCAAATAAATGGCCAGAGCAAGGCCAGACCAAAACCAGGAGCCTAAAACTCCCAGGTGTGCCCAGGGTGGGTGCCCAGGCACAACAAGTACTTGGGCCGTCTCCTGCTGCTTTGCAGGCACATTAGTAGAAGGGGGAAATGGGACTCACACCGGTGTCCACGTGGGATTTAGGTGTCGCAGGTGGCTCCTTCCCTGCCCTAGACCCCTGTGAGGAGTTTGGAAGTGGCTCAACTGTGAGAGCCTCGTTTAATAATCTTGATGTGCAAGAAGAGAATGCAGATGGCTCTGATGACCCTCGGAGGTGAGGGGTGAACACATGTGGGTCATTCATGGCCACACACATGACCCGGGTTGGTGGGAATGTTTGAGGGACTGCAGTCATGGCCGCTTAATTGTGCAGGCCTGGAGCGTCCTCCTGCCCAGCCAGTGGCCACCCTCAGCTGCCTGTGATCCAGATGAGCCACAGGGCTTTACCCATGTCCTCATGAACTGCCCATTGGTGTTGTGGATGGAGGAGGCAGGTGTGGTCTCTCTGTCCTCAGATCGAGGGATGCTATTTCGTAATGAGGGGATGGGGTGGAGTGGTGGTGACTGCCATGTATTAACTTCTTCTGTACCTATGATTAGCAAAACACTGCAATTTACAGAGAAGGAAATATACATTTCCAATCGGGACTCAAAAAACAGGCAAGATCTTTTTTTTTAATCGCCCATGTACCCAAGAAGATAGTGAACGAGCACGGGTTCTGCCCAGCAGCTGGGGGCAGGCCAGGAGGACTGTGTAGGTTGCCCTCCCGGGGCTTCTCTGCTACAGCCAGGCCTGAGGAGGGCAGGCTCCCTTCTCCGTCTAATCTTGTCTCTTCAGACCCACAGGGGAAGCAGGCGTCACACAGGGCTGGCAGGCGGGAGGGGAAGGTCACAGCCTCCCTTACGCTGGCCGGCCATGACGTTGCTCCCTGGAGGATGTGAGATAGCGCTGAACCTGCAGCAAAGCAGTGAAGACAGGCACGGGGATGACTTGTTCATTCTGGAGTGCATGCTTGCTTCCGGTGGCTATTTCTAGTGCCGTTGCTACATCCCGGGCTCGGTGCTCAGCGGTGATGGGTGCGGTAGCTCTCCCGGCATCCTTACACAATTAATGACTTACTGCCTGCTCTCAAAATAAGTGCTGTGAAGAACCACTTCCCCAGGGCGGTGACATTCGAGAGGAAGCCTGAAAGATGAGAAAGGCTGGCCTGGGGTGGGAGGGACGTTGGGTCCAGAGGGAGGTGCTTTGGAGACCAAGAACATTGTGTCCCAGGAGTCTCTGAGTTAGGGAGAGGGACTGCAGAGTGTCAGCGCTCAGCAGCAGGCTGAGGTGGGTCACAGATGGAGATTGGTCCAGCCACCGTGACTAATGTGTGGATGTTAATATCTGATGTGTGGCAAAGAGGCCAGAGTGAGTCCCTGGCGAGGCTCAGTCCGGATCTGGCTGGGAGATGGCAGCCAGGATTGGGGCTGGCAGGGGGATGGGCTGATGCCCTGTCCTGCGGCTCTCCCAAGGTCTTGGCTGACGGACTGGCAGGGAGGACTTGCAGGATCCTGAGGGAAGAGCAGCCAGATGAGGACAGCAAGGTCGGCCAGGAACACAGCAGGGGTGCCATTTGCCCTCGGCCCCTACCCTGTGGGGCTGGTTGGTGTCTTGTAATTGCAGCTCACACGCAAGGCTTAGCGGGGAGGGAATTTGCTCAAGTTGCAGGTCCACAAACTGCAAGGTTCTGAGTGGGGCCCCTTCCAGGAGAGTGTGCCTGGAGGGGTAGGGCTTGGGGGAGTTGACAGGGCGGCACCTGGGCCCTCAGCTGATGGTGGTCATGAGGGCTCTGGCAGGGGCATCATATAGCCGGGCTCAGTGGTTGCTAGCCACTCCTGCTGGCTCCCTGGCCTAGGAATGCTCTCCCAGGTCCCCAGCATGCAGCTGTGAGAGAGTGATGGTGCTCATTCCATGTTGCATGCTGTTCCTGCCTGACTGACCATCTGTCCCGGGATCTCCTCTTCTCTGCACAGGTTCCGTGTGTACCACTCGCACCAAGACGGGGGTGGGCTACCCACAGCTGAGCGCGGTGATCGAGTGCGCAGACTCTGCACACGGCCTCAAGGGCCACATCATCTCTGTGAGTGTCTGGAAAGGGCCCCCTGGGTGACACGGGGTGGGGTGACTGGGGCCCCGGGATGGTGAGGCGATCAGGGCTGTGCCATTGCTTCTCTCTCTGGGCTTGTCTCTGCAAGTGAGGGCAGTGGGTCCCCCAGGAGCCCCATACTCAGCCCTGCGACCCGGATGAGGAAGTGGGCTGGGGCTCCCATCCCCACCCAGCGCACCTGACCTGAGGCTGAGTTTAGCCACTCTCACAGTGTAATACACCAGAGAGCAGCATCGATGGCAACTGGGGAACTTGGTGTGGTGATCAGGCCACATTCAGCCAGGCTTCCTCTGCTGGAGCCTGCAGAGGAAGTTCTGGGGGATGCCAGTTGGGCACACGGGCTCAGGATGCCCGTGGTGTAAGATGGTAGCCCTTCAGATTCCACCTGTGTGTGCCGGGGTTGTTGTGTTGTTGGTGAGGGATTGCCTAGAGGGGGTTAGGAGTTCAGGTTCAGGGACATAGGTAGGAAGTGGACTCTTGGTCAGTTTGGTCTGTCTGGCCAGCCGAGTGTCTTCAGGCTCAGAGTGGCCAGGTGCCCTTGTCCGATAGGGTTTCCCGAGCAGGTTGCTCCCACCTGCTGCTTGTCTTGAGCCTGTTGGAAGGAAACCTGTTGGGCGTTTCGGATCCTGCCACTTTCCTCTCCTCTGTCTTGCTTGACACTGGCATTGCCGATGTAGTGCTTTGTGCCATTGAGGCTCAGGAGCCAGGCATGGTATGCGAGCAGCAGGTGCATACACCTAAAAGGCTGGCTCTGAGTTGTGTGTGCTCACCTGGGCCTCAGCGGGTGGGTGGGGGGACCACTCAGGAACCCTGTATCAAGGTGAACCTTAAGGAGTGACCAGAGACTCGTTTCCTTATCACACAATTATAGTTTTAAATGTTGATCAAATAATACAACTTTGTTATGAGGCTTGAAAAATTTTGCCGACAGGATAGGTTTAACTTGGGCAAAGGTACAAATGCCAAGAAACGTTAAGAAGGGAAGTGGTACTGGGTAACCATTGGTTCTAATATTGTTCTATATTTAAAAGGTTGTCTTTTTTTTTTGAGAATTAGAGAAGCAGGGAGAAAGAGCCTGCAAGAGGATGGTCATCTCCTGACTCAGATGCTTGCCATGGCCAGGGTTGGGCAGGGCTGAAGCCAGGAGCCAGGCTCGGCCGGGTTTCATGGGGGCGGGGTGGAAGGATCCGATTGGTTGAGCCCTCATTACTGCCTCCCCAGCTCAGCATTAGCAGGAGGTTGTGGTCAGGAGCAGGAGCTGGGACCCAAACCCAGACACTCGAAGGTGAGGAGTGGGGTGTTCACTGCTAGACCAAATGCCTGTTCTTTGTCTATTTTGATCGTCATGTGACCTCAGGCAAGTCACTCCACCTTTTCAAATCTCATTTTCCCCCACCTACAAAAATACCAGCTTCAGGTTCTTAACGATGCGTAAATGGAAAAATGACTTGTCCTGCCTAGTATAGGTACTCGAATTCCTTTTCTCTCTTTCATGTTCTCTCAAGTGCTTTAAATCAGGTGTGCTGCCAGCTCACAGATTGAACTTGCACTCACGTCCCACGTACCTGTTGTGCTGAAATATAACATAAACTGCCTTGAAAAACAAAGCAAGTAATCCTGGTGGATTTACTGCCTTGATTTTTTGCACAGGATGGAAATACTAGCCATGTTTTTTTTCTCTTTTTACTTGAAAAGAAGAGGAGTGGATTTTTCCATATGCTAGTTTCACTCCTGAAGTGGCTGCAATGACCAGAGGACTCTGAGTGTGTCTCATTCCTACAGTCACGTGGAATTCTCAGGACAGGCAGGAACTACTCACAAGTAAATGAGCAAAGTGTTTGGTTTTCCTAAAGATTCAGCATGACAGATCTTCCATCTGCTGCTTCAGACTCTTAATGGCCACAAGAGCTAGGGCTGGCCCAGGCCAAAGCAAGGAGCCTGGTCTCACACTTAGGGAGCTGGCCTGGCAGTGGAGCAGGTGGGACTAGAGCTGGCACTCCACAGGCAGCAGCTTAACCTGCTGGGCCACCCTGCTGTGTCCCCAGGGAAGTGTGTGGACTTTCTGGAAATCAGGTGGTAGGGGACCTGTTTCCATGAGAGCGTGAGTTTGATCTAGTTGAAGCTGTTGGTTTCAAACCCTGTTGTGCAGAGCTAGTTTGGTTAAAGGTAAAACATTTTCACTCTCTGGCCAGGTGTGGATGTAGCCTGGAATAGAAAGGAAGCGAGCACATGAGAGAGCTGGCATCATGGAGTCCTGTTTAGTCTCCCTGTGGAGGCTCTCAGCTGCACCCCCATGGGCCAGCAAAGCTCCGCGGAGCTACCTGGGGTGCCTCTGCTCTCGGAGGGCTTGCTTGCAGCTTCCTGCCAGCGGTAGCTCTCGGAGGGCTTGCTTGCAGCTTCCTGCCAGCGGTAGCTCTCCGGAGCCTGCATGCTCTGTTCCTTTCCAAAGTACCCACAGTGTGGGCCCTCCCCAGGGCCAGGCACTTCCCTCTGAAGCTGTGGGCTTTCTCCTAGACCCACCCTGGGGCTCCTACTGCTCTCCCTGGCCTGCCCCGTGAGCCACCCTGGCTGCTGGCTAGGGTCCCAGCACCTGCCTTTTCCATTGAGCTTCACCACACACTACACTGGAACATCGTAGCAGGCAACAGCTTGGGAAACCCAAGGAGCGCTGTGTCCTGGGCCAGGTGCAGTGGGCACAGCCCCAGAGCCACACCTGTGCTCTGGGCAGCCTGAACCAACACTGGGTTGCAAGGCGAGTGGTATGCAATCCACCAGATCAGCTGGTCCTGGTCCTGCATAAGGTTAATCTCAGGCCAGGTAGAGAGGAGGGTCACTCCGCAAGGGCCAGTCCAGGGTAGGGTGAGACCCCCTGTGCTCTGTGGGCCTTGCTGCCTCCTGTTCCCTGGCCAGAGGTGCCCAGGTCCTGGCGTGACTGAGCTGAGTGAGTGCTGCCAACCCATGACCCCACAGAAGAATGGGGTGGATGTCAGTCCCTGCCCTGTTCCCCTCATGCCCCCCTCTCCTTGTCTCTTCCCTATGAAGGATGGAGGTTGCACGTGTCCGGGAGATGTCGCCAAAGCGTTTGGTAAGCCTGGCCTGCCTACAGGGGAGGGAGGGAGGGAGGCGGGCAGGCAAGATCTGCTGCTCCAGGTGGGGAAGTGGCGAGCCCTCCAGGTTGGGTACTGGTTCTCAGCCTTGAGGTGGGTCTAGGGGAGACACCTGCAGGTGAGAGAGGAGCAGGAGACTGGAGGCTCCCTACAAACGGAGCAGCCTTGGGAAGGGGAGAGCCTGCAGCAGTTCCTCTGCCTCCCACGAGAGGGCAGCTGTGTCCTCCGCAGGCCATGCGGGAGACTGCACCACTGCAGGGGACCTGGGCTTCCTGAACTTGAAAAGGGAATTCCCAGAGGGCTGCTGGCCTTGGCACAGCACACTGCATTTGGGAAGCCAGAGCTAGCCAAGGGCTCCACAGTGCCATGTGAGAGCCAGGGTGCTCAGCTGCTGTGTCCCCACTGTGCTTGTCTCGTGGCCAGACCCCATTTGATAGTCCTTTTTTTTTCTTCTAGGGTGAGAAGGGGAGTTCTTTTTTTGGGGGGGTCATTTTAAGAATTCTATTTTTAAGATATATTAAAACAAAAAGAAACTTAACAGCCTAAGGAGCGCCCGGGGCAGCAGCAAGATTGCAGGCATGGGACTTGCTTGTCCATTTTGCAGTGGAGGGGACAGGGTCCCCAGGAGCTAAAGGAATATCCGGGGCACCCAGGACCTCTGCTAGCCGCTGGGCTTCTGGCCCCGTGCTGTATGGATCAGCCAAGGGTGCTTTGTCCCTTTCTGGAGTGTGGTCTCCGCAACATGCATGCGTGTTCCCTCTTGGGTTTTCTAAGAAAGCTCATGCGTGTACTGTGCCTGGAGTGGGACAGACCGAGTAAGACCCCAGCACCCTGGGAGGAAGGGATTGGGGGCTGAGTGACTTTCATGGGGCAGCTGCTTCTCAGGCCCAGCGCAGCTTCCTTGGGGCTCCTGAGGACGGTGCCAGAAACGCAGGCTAGGAGGAGCTTCACGCCCCAGCCCTTGCTATTGCACTTTGCTGTTAGTTGCAATCCTACGTGTCACTACACTCATAACTTAAGGGTGAATCTGAAAGGCAGATTTACAGACAGGCTCATTTTCCATCCACTAGTTCACTCCCCACGTGGCTGCAACAGCCAGAGCTGAGCCTGTCTAGCTTAAGCTAGGAGCCGCCTCCTGGCCCCCAGCATGGGTAACGGGGCCCAAGGACTTGAGGGTCACTCCTTGCTATTCTCCCAGCCCTTAAGCAGGGAGCTGGACCAGAAATAGAGCCATCCGTAGGAGATGCTGGCACCACAGGTGGAGGCTTCAGCCGCTATGCCACTGGTGCTAGCTAGCCCTCGTACTTTCCCCACCCACCTTGCCTAGGTTCCGTTTGTTTTCTCCTCTGCCTCCAGGAAGGCTGGCGGGAGGGAGGAGAGACAGGACGGCCCTCTGAGAATTCTTTTTCCCTGACCACTTGCTCTCTCATCCACACCCTGGGTACCCAGGAGCCGGAGCCGACTTCGTCATGTTGGGCGGGATGTTTTCCGGCCACACTGAGTGCGCGGGAGAAGTGATCGAGAGAAACGGCCAGAAACTCAAGCTCTTCTACGGGATGAGCTCAGAAACGGCCATGAAGAAACACGCGGGGGGCGTGGCCGAGTACAGGTGAGGGCAGCGCAGAGCTGAAGGGGCTGCGGCCGGCCGGCGTGCACGCGGGCAGCTTCAGAGTGTGCGTGAGCAGAAGCCGGCACTGGCTGCTGGGTGCTTATATTTCTCAATCCCATTCACCCACTCACTCATTGGGAGTCCCCTTGCCCGTGTGTGTTAACAGTGCCAATTTCTCACCTGACTCCTCAGACCTGTCAGGTGGGGTGGGAACTGCCTCGTGTTTGCAGTTGAGTCTAGGCTGAGCCGAGATCAAGGTGCATGAAGTGGGGGGTGGCTTGAGCCCCCTGTTCCTGGGAAGTGCCAAGCGTGGGCCCAGCCTGTCCTGCAAGCTGCTGAACTTTGGCCTTTACCTGCTTTAGCTCCTGTGCCCTTCTCTCTCTCTGAGGACCTAAGTGTTTTCAACAGGGCTGATAAAGTATTACCCAAATTCAAGGTCCCCTGGGCTTCCCTTGTTTCACTTTGATAGGAAACTAGAAGTCTGGCCTCATCGCTCGCTCACATTTGTGGGCAGTGCAGGAAGGAAGGGAAGTGACCTTTCGCAGTTCCCTGGTCGGTTCTAGGGGGCTGGTAGCCATCATTCCCTCCAGCGCTTCTCTACCTTGGGGAACGGACACAATGTAGGGGACCTCAAAACCAGAAATGGGGCTGGCCTTGTGGCACAAGTGAGCCTGGCTGCTGTCTGCCCCTCCCGCATCCAACATCAGGGCGCTGGTTCAAGTCCCAGCTGCTCCATTTCAGATCCGGCTGGCTGGTCCTGTATCTGAAGCGCTGTAGGAGATTTGAATGGAGCTCAAGGACTGGCAGCTATGTGGGAAGTGAGCCCGTGGCTGGAAGATCTTTTTCTTTTAACATTTATTTGGAAGGCAGAGTTAAAGAGAGGGACAGACAGTGGAGAGAGATCGGCCATCTGCTGATCCACTCCCTAAATGGTGCCAGCAACTCGGGAGCCCGGGGCTCTGTCGAGTCTGCCACCTGAGTGCAGGCAGCCAAGGACTTGGGCCATCTTCCGCTTTCGCAGGAACCTTAGTAGAGAGCTGGATTGGAAGTAGAGGAGCTGGGGCCCAGAACACTGCCTGCAGGCACTGGCTGAACCCGCTGTGCCACAACACTTCCTTTCAAATAAATATTTTTTAAAAAATTGAAAATAAGAGGTAATTCATGGCTGCCCCCGGCAGGAGGTCCTCCCACATGGAGACTGCTGGAGGAGGCTGCACAATTGGGCAGCAGGGAGGTAGTGATCCCGTTTACGCAAGCCAGACAGGCGAGGGATCAGAAAGCTTACTGCTGAGCCGGTACCTGCTGTGGCCTCACACAGGCCCATGTGCTCTCTTCCCTGAGGGGCAGAGTGTGGAGCCTTGTGGCTGCGAGACTAGGCTAAAGATTCCAGAGGATCAAGACTCATTTCTGGAAGGAAACAGACCCTTGACCAAAGGCCACTTGTGCTCTAGTTTCTGTCCAGTTCCCTCTTCTTAGCAGGTGACAGCCTGTTCCAGGACCACTGTTCTCATCCCGAGAATGGGTTCTCACTGTGACACACGAGGGTTCCTTATGGCCTTGTTATTTGCTTTGTCAGTTCCTCTCCTAATCAAGTCTCCAATTTTACAGATGAGCAGACTTTGCGCTCATCTGTTAGCCTAGAGACAGGAAGACTGTGGAAAATGTCACGGCAGGCACGGGGTCTCCTCTCTGGCCACTGAATGCTGAGACCAAGCCACACTGGGTGTGGTTACTGACCTGGGCATCGTGAACTTGGCATTTTAAACTATCAGCTGCTAGGGAGGTTTGAATACCCAGGTTTTACGCAGGAGAGTCTTGCATGCCCAGGGAACAGGAGTTGGCACCCTTGTGAAGTTTCACATGAGTTTCTGATTAAAAGATGTTATTTTCCCAGCTGAAAGACACAAAAGTTCCAGAATGTCCCAGATGGAACTTGCCTAGCTTTTAGTTGTGGGCTAAGTGAGATTTTTTTTTTTTAAAGTTCCTTCTGCTAAGCTCCTACAAACCCAGGCCTGGACAGCATCCCCATTTGGCAGATGGGGACCTGGTGGTGGCTGCTTTGTGGCTTGTGACGGAGAGGGACAGGGCTCAGCTAGTGGGGTTTGTCTGGCGGTCACCTGCCACGCTCTTGGCCTCCTGGACTTGTGTGGCTTCTCTGGTGATGTAAGATGCTGGCCAAGGCCCAGAAGCCTCTGCTGAAGGCAGTGCCCGGTTCTACCGTGATCCCATGATGTCCTGCAGAATAAGTGCAGCCAGCCCCGAGGGCCCAGGGATGCAGCAGGCAGGCTAGTGGGACGGGGGCTTGTTGGGTTTCCAGGTAACCCGGTCAGCCCGATGTGCTTGTTGAACCTCCCGCTGCTGCTGGCGACCTTCGGGAACACTCAGTTTCTGAATACAGGACATGCAGCCTAGAGGACCTCACTCGCAGCCTTTGCTGTTGATGTAGGAAGTGGCTCCAAGAGGCTCCGGGCTCTCATTGCATTGGAGGCTGCTGTTCAGATGAAGCTAGAACGGCAAGGGTGGAACCAGGTGTCCACTGGGGGCAGAGCACAGTGCGGTGTGGGTCTTCTTGGGGCAGCCTGCACTGAGTGGTGGGAGGAGGGATGTCCTCATCTTGAGTGCTGGCGCCATCTGCTGGGTCCTGGGGTCAGAGGGTGGCATCCAGCTATGCCAGTGTCTTGGGGTAAGAGCATGACAGCTTGGGCACCTCCTTTCCTTGCAGGGCGTCGGAGGGCAAGACGGTGGAAGTGCCTTACAAGGGGGATGTGGAGAACACGATCCTGGACATTCTTGGGGGGCTGAGATCTACGTGCACCTACGTGGGGGCTGCCAAACTCAAGGAGCTCAGCCGGAGGGCAACCTTCATCCGAGTGACCCAGCAACACAACACCGTGTTCAGCTAACCTCTGCAGCGAGGGTCGTCAGCTCCAAGGGGGAAGCTTCCGCATGCACCTGCTGCTTCCTCCTGCTCCAGCAGTTCTGGGGGGTTCCTCCTTTGCCTTCTGGGGGCCCAGGGGAGGGCCCTGAGGGAGCCCAGCTGCCAAGAACTTCCTTGTTCAAGTCACCACCTGCACCCTTTTTCTTTTTTAAAAGAAAATGGTTTCACTTTCATATGATGCTCTTATCTTGATGCCTGATTGCATGCTGGAACCTGCATTTGCAGGAGCCAAGTCACAAAGGGGCCTTGGCATTTTCTGCCACCCTGGCAAGCAAGTGAGGTGCCTGTTCCCCTTGGCTCTCAGTGGATGAGGGAAGGGGAGCAAGCTGGAGTTGGACCCACTGGCAGCCTTTCCCTCTGGCTCTTGGTCACCACGAAAGGCTGAGTGAATAGTACAGCATGAAGATTTGTCCCTCATCTCCTGCGTGCCAGGCTGTTTGTGTGTTTTTGCCAAAACCTTTGCCACGTGCCTTCCAGGAGTCATCATCTTGGTGCCACTTCTAGGTCGCATCCCTCTCCTGGGTTTTCATTTTTTGTTTGGACCCATCTCCTCCCTCCTCCCTTCGCAGTCTCTGCCTGCCAGGCCGGCTGCCTTGAAAGGAGGCGAGAATGGTCCTCAAGTTGGGTGGGATGCTTCGGCCAGAGGTTATCCGCCAAGACGTTAGCAGGTGGTGTCCTACTAAGAGGTGGTAGGAGCATTCCGCAGCAGGGCCCTCACGGGCATGGGTGTACAAGCTTTGTCTTGGAGGTGAGTACACCCAAGAGGGGGCCACGCAGGACAGCTGGGTGGATGGAGACGAGAGAACTGGCCTTGGCAGCTGTCTGGGCACAGTCCATGAGGACTGGCCATTTCCTTCAATGCACTGAGCACAAGGGCTAGAGAGTTGAACTCGGGAGGCCCCGCTTGTTAGCAAGGTCAAAGAAGCAGGCAGAGGAGGAGTGTGTTTGAAGTGTGTGGTGGCTTTAGAGAGGAACTCCTTCCTGGTGGTCTCCACGAAGAGCCAGCTGGAACAGCTGGAATGCTGAGCAGGCTATGGAGGGCATCCCATCAGCCTGCACAGGCGCGATGCAAGTGGCGCCTCTGCTAGTGTGACAAAACGGGGAGGTTTCATGCTGCAGTCCATGAGGCGGTTCACTTTTCAGACTGCTAGACTACAAAAACCAAGGGCAAGGGGAAGGACGGGCGAAACCTTAGGGCAGACTCGGATGACGGTGCGCCAACAGTTAGCAAGGGAACTTCTTTCAGGACCGTGTCCTCCATGCCCCTGCTGGTGTCCCCAGTGTCCTTTCTTGGTCAGGTCAGGCTCCTGCGCTGTGCCCAGTGGTCACCGTCAGGTGGGGAGCTCCATGGGACCATGATCCCTGCAGCAAGACGTGCCACTTCACCCCTTGTGCAGGTACAGGCTTTGCACGCAACAACCTTGCCAGCTGCTTCAGCGAGCAAAGGCAGATCCCTTGTAATTCCAGGTTCTAGGGAGATGGGAAGCCAGAGTTATTGTCAGGTCAGAAGCACCTGATCAGCATGTGAAGCCAAGGCTCTGTGGGAGGAGGGACAGCTGCCATTCCATGCATTCTCCCCTGGCAGAGTTCCTGCTGGAGCGTCCACCTTACCTGGACCACCAGAACCCTGAGGTTGCATCTGGTGCCTGGGTGGAACGGGGACACCCATGAGCTTGGTGCCATTCACCCTGGGGTGGTGGTGGTCTTACAAGGTGGTTGCAAGGCCCATCATCTCCCCTCCCCCAGAGCAAACGAATCTAACTTGTCCCTCAGCACTTTAAGAAAAACAAACCACCTTAGTTGAGAAGGCAGTTACAGAAAGGGGATGAACGAGTTATTCCATCTGCTGGTTTACTGTCCAGTATGGCTGTTGTGCCAGGCTTAAGCCAAGAATGTCATTCTACCTAGGTCCCCCAGAAGGGTGCAGGGGTCCAAGCAGGTGCGCCATCCTTCACTGCTTTTCCAGGTGCGTTACCAAGGAGATGGAGCAGAAGCCAAGTAGCTGGGACACTTAAGCCACACGCCGATCCAGGGTGCTGGCAGGTGGTGGCTTAGCCCATGGTACCATGGTGACAGTCCCTAGAGTTTAGCATTTTAACCTATTGAGGTACCACCACCATTGGACCCCCACACCTACCAGATCTCAGGGGAAGCCAGAGTTCAGACACCAGACTTGCCCTCGATGTGCTGGTATGTTTAGCCCGAGGAGGAGGAGACCTTGAGGTGCTCTGCACTCCCACCCCCGCCCTGCCCCTTACAGGCTGCTGGGCGGCTCACCTGCCCACACTAACACAGCGTGTCAGGGTCCCAGCGCCGTGACCCCAAGGCAGTTCTGGCTGGATCCTCCCCAATCCCCTAACCTGTGCACACTTTGATGCCAACAGAAACTCTAATAGTTTCTCATCAGTGGGAACCACAGCACACAAATGCTTCCCACCCCAGACCACCTACACAGGTCCCAACAAGACCATGAAGGATATGCCGAAGCTGCCACCGGGACCAGGGGCCTACCGGTCACAGTTTGCAAACACGTTTGTTGTGTAAACTGCTGTGGCTCGGACAGGAGACACATGAACTGGACGAGCCATGGAGCAGTGAGTGTGTGTGCCTTTAAAAACCCTTTCACCATTCCCCCCACCACCTCTTTGAACCCAACAGAAGACAGACCCACTTGCAATTGGCACTGTTATTTTATTAGTACGAGTATACTGAAACAATAAACTTGTACTGGTATACAGACAATTTATTTAAAACAATTTTGTTCAAATTTTGAATCAAACATTGTTTTATTATAATAATGAAATAATTTCTACCTAGAAAACCTGCAAGCACCATCAAAGAAAGGGACCATAAAATTCAATAAACAGACTTGAGTGTATCCTACAAATAGACACACCACGATTAGAAAATAGAATATGAATTCTTCCATTTTTTTTTAATATTTGTTTTTAAAAAAGCTAGTGCAAGTACAATATTTTACACTGGAATTACAGAGAGTATGCACGCATATGGAAAAAAGTTCTCCTGTCACAATAAAAGCTCTTAACTATGTATGCACTTAAAATTTTTTCTTTTCAATAAGGTGCAAAACATTCCTTCCCTTATCTCCTCTGCATTGGCCAGGCCAGTCTGGTAACGCCCTCAACCCAGGGGTCTCTTTTCTTTCAGCCTCTGGGAGGCATACAATTGGAGGTTTGGGACAGGTAATAACCTTTAACTAGAACACCCAATGGGCTAATGGTGGACATGGCTCTGGGGCCGGGACCCTGCTGCTGAGAAAGGAGGCCACCACACACACACACACACACAGGACCCTACCGGTACACCTCCTTCCAGCAGACGCCTAACGGATTTCTGCTTAGAAGGAAGAGTCCTGGCCAAGAGGCAGGTGTCAAGTTCAAGGTGCATGGACTAAAGCATTTCCCCCACTTGTGCCAAACCATCAAGAGCAGGTAGAAGCCTGTGCACCGATCTTGTGGGTCCTGTTTGTGGTAGACCACACCTGTCAGTCAGTACCCACCTTGGCCATCCCAGAGCACTGTGGGTTATCTTGGTAAGTAAGGACCACTGTAAACAGTGCCTGCCATGGAGGCCTTCTGATTATAACCACGGAAAAGGAGACAGGCTCGGGGGGGGAGTGGGTGGGTTATCCACAGAAGCCAACTTGATGGGGGGGAGGATGTGGGTGGGACAAGTCTCCAATGTATCTGCAGTGAAAAGACTGGATTCCTTTCAGAGAAGAAAAGTTTATGGGCATTCTTAGAGACTGTTACTGGGTAAAGATTACCTGTTGGCCAAATGCACTTCATTTTAATACAGTTGAACCATTTGTAGGCAAGTCATGGGGACATGAAAAACTGCAGCCGCTGTTCCTCCCGCCCTAGGACAGGTGGATATTAGCAACCAGAAGAACTACACCCAGGTGTAAGGGCAGTGAGCGGATTCTGAATGTGAGAAATAGAGGTGGGCTTGCTAGCAACCCAGAGCTGTCCAGTCTGTTACTGTCCAGCTTGATTTTGGGACAAGAAGATCACTTCTGAAAAGTTGCTCCATGTTCATTTTGGCCTCTTGAAGGGAAAAAAAGGTATTTTATTGGAATTTGTGGTTTATGCCCCTCAGTATTTTTTTTTTTTTTTGTCCCCACATCACATATCCTGCTTTCTTGGTAACTAGGATCCCTTGTTACAAACACTTCATGTTCAGGGTTATATTCTTTGGGTTTATACGAACAAGAAGTGCTGAAAATGTCCAGTGTGACTTCAGATGAATAAGAAATTGCAATGGCTTGAGCGCTGACACTATGCGGGGAGCTCAGGGGGGTCTCCAAGCACAGGGATGGGCTGTCTTCTCTACTAGCAGAATACAGGGTCCCCTTCCCCGGCCCCCTCAGGTGAGAGGCCATGGACCACGCCAAGGGAAGCTCAGGCAGCATTTACGAGCCTATGACGTCACCATTCTTCCTGGCCAGAACCATACACATCTCATCACTTAGACATGACACATTTCTATGTACAAATAAAAAAAAAAAACACTTTCAACCCTTCTTTTTTTTTTTTTTACAAAGAAAATAGGAAACAGATCCATATCTCAAACACTGAATGAAGCGTTTCGACATTCATTTTTCTTTTGTGCAATTTTTTTTTTTTTAAAAACAATACCTTGTACTCCCCAAAGTGAGTGCTTATAAGATGCATTTTCTTCAGCTTCTCAAGTTAGGTGTACATTGAAGAAAAAAAAAATTCCCACAAGGTATAGTGCTACAAGAAAAGAGCCTACCGGTAAGGTAACACATCTGAAGCGAGGTCATCTATGTGAAGGGAATCTCGGCTCCGGGGTAGAGGTGTACAAGGCGTTTGGACTTTCCCTAGCAACAGAAACACAACACTGTCCGTGGAAAAGAGCGGAAACCAACCCAACACCGCAGCGTAGGCAGGTGCTTGAGACAGAAGCACTTCCTCGGTGTATTTATGACTGGGTGTGTCCTTCAGTTTGCTATTTCAGTAATTTTGGGTGGAAAAAAAATCCAGATGTGGAAACCAAGGATTCCCCACCATCATCACCACGCCCCCTTTACAAACAAGTCAAAAATACCGCTCTTTCGGGTTACACGCAAGCAACCAGGATCCCTGGGGGACCCTGTGGTCACCTGGAGTCCTCAGGAGTGACACTGGAGGGCACTGGAGGAATGCAGGGCTTTGGGAAGGGGGCAGGCCAGGCGGCTGAGATCCTATGCTTCAGGATGCGGTAGCTATGACAACCAGCTAAGCTCCTGAAGCCTGGTCTTCTGCCCCAGGAGCTCTGGGCCCTCACCCATGTCTGAAACAGCATGGCGTTAGTGTCTTCGCAAGCATCTCTCAACGAAAGAAATAGGTTTCCTTAAGTAGTCACAGATGTTAGCGGGTATTATCAATTGTTTCCTGAAGAAGCAAAAACAAAATCCAAAGCTACTACAAACGACAACAGAAAAATCAGTTTTGGCAACGTCTTTCAGGAAAGATCAAACGTCTGTGCAAAGAGTGGATGTTAGGATTTCTAGGAGCTACTGTCCATCCTGAACATGCAGCATTATATTGCGATCTAGGCAGTATCTAAGGAGTCATCCACAAGATACAGGAAATCCAAACAGTCCTTGAACTTGTACAACCCTACTCCAGAGCAGTCAAAGTGCTGCTTCTGGACACCGCAGTGTACCACACACACCAGCCCCGTCCCTGAGTAAGAGGTGTGAAGTTTCTGCAGAGTATTCCTTGTAGGGGAAAGGGGAAGGGGGGAGGAGGGATACTGCCACTTCCAGGAATGGGGGAGGGGGACGGGAAGAAAGGGGGAAGGGAAAAGCCCATCACACTCACCTCACACAACACACAGAGGCTCACGACTCTGAGGGAGAAGCTGGGGTCACGCTGCCGAGTGACACCAAGTCATCCCATTGCCACATCGGGTATGCAGATGCATCGGGAACCCAGGATCGACTGATCAACCAACCCACCCATGTAGAAAAGGTGCCCTCCCACCCCCCCCCCCCAGCCAGGCCAAACAAAAATGTAACCTGGAGTCCACTTGAACGATTCGAGGTAAGTGGCGTTCACTGCCGTCCCCCCTCCCTCACCGCCCACCACCCCCTGCCCCCTGCCCCAAGGTGGCCCAGGAAAACTGAAAGATTCATTAACATTCTAAGAACAGTCATTTTTATATATTTAGAAATCCCTATACAGAGAGGTTTTTGTTTGTTGGTTTGTTATGAATAGTATTCTTTTTTTTTTTTTTCTTTTCGCCCTGACTCATTTTCTTGGTGATTGTGTTTGGTTGTAAACACAGAAGGCCTGTTGTTAGTTTCAAAATGGAAAACAGGAAAGAATGCACAGGCTCACACAACACGGCTCTGGGTGAGGACTGCCAAGTGGACACAATAGAGAGGCATGCTGCTGCTGCTTGTGAGCTGCAGCGCACCCAAGAAGTGCAGCCTCCATCACCCATAGGGCTTGCTACATGGAGCATCGGTCATGGCCACCCCTCCCAGGGGCGAGGACCGTGGTTGGCAGCTAGGCTCCTCCTCCCCAGTCCCTGGTCCTCAACATGCATTCACACACCCACCCGGTCACACATGTCAGCCGCACTCGGAGGACACAGGCTCAAGAGGACGGGCAATGTGCTTGCCAGCTGGAAAGACCTTGGACCACACAGTCACCTCCAGCCTATGCTGCTCCCGAGTGCGTCCCAGACCTGCAACCTTCCTGGCCATGCTCTGTCACTATTCTGTGATGCCACGGGACCCTGTGGTTCTCCCACCGCCTCTTCATTCTGCTGCATAGCAGCAGACACAGGGAGGGCTCCTGAAGACTCCCACCCAGATCTTGGGCATCCACAGCTGGGACGGCTGGGAGGAGGCTGTCTCCATTCCTGGTCACATGGAGAAGATGGGAAAGATGGAGCAAAGAAGGAAGAAGTCTCAAAGGAGCGAGCTTCGAACCGTAGCACACTGGGTCAGATGTTATTGGCACAGAAAGTATTGCACAGGCTAAAAAAGCAGGAGAGTATTAAATGGAAGGAAGGTTTTAGAAAGAACCAATTGTTTGAGAATTCCTATGCAGGAACTAGAACCACAAAAATCATGAAGATGTGCCTATTGCTCCGAACCACGTGTGTTTTCCCATTTTAGTGTCGGGGGGAGTGGATCAGGGTCAGTTCAAGTGAGTGAAGTGAGCCAGAGGGATATGTGTGTGTTTCTGAGTCCATGTGAGAACCAAGTTTCTGTGGCAGCCCCATCGTCCTCTTACCATCAGGAAACAAAAGGAAAAGCAAAACCTATTCATTGCAAGTGCCCTGAGCAGAATATGTGGAAGATGAAGCAAGTTCTTGAAACAGAAATGTCTGGAAAAAAAAAATACAGCATTTAACTAAGCAGCCTTGACTGAGGTCGGACCCACCCAAGCCAGCCCTGCTAGCGAGCTGCAAGGGTAATGACATTCACGGATGGGGTCTAGCTACTCTGAACCTAGGCAAGTGTTTTTGGTACACCCAAGAAAGTGGTTTGTAAAAATCATCCAGACTCCATGAGGACCAAATACAGAGGAATCCCAGGGGGGCCAACTCGCAGGTCGAGGTCAGCATACCTTCCTTTTGAGAATTTGAGAAATGGCTGAAGGGTGATTTTTCAATGATGCAAATGAAACATCAGATAAGCACTGGTTCTGGTTAGCTGCAACCATCCGAGAATATTTTTTAAAATTCTCCCAACTTATAAAAACTCTTTTCTTTTTTAAAGCATTTGGAGATACCCTCAAAAATCCACTCATGATATTTCAAATCCCTGGGAATGAAGGGTTTAAACTATGAAATACCCTTTCTGGATTTGTACCAAACACTAAATCTTGATTTGATTTCTAACAGAAGGGGGAAAAAAATTAGAGAAGTCTTTCCGAAAATAACATTAATAACAACAATAATAAAGTAATCCTTTGAAAAAAAAAAAAACTTGCTCACATATATAAATGTCTTTATGGAAAACTCTCTCGGTGAATAGATCTGAAGACAATTCCGAGTTGTCCTGCCAAGACCTGGCTTTTTTGTGACAGAGGTGGTAGAAAAGAGCAAAATGAGTTCTGAAAGGAACATAACCTTATAAAATAGTAGCCTAGAGTTTTAGGCAGTTGAGAAAGTAATTCTGCTACATTTATTGATGCTGTTCAGACCCCCAAACCTTTCCCACAATGTTAGGTTCAAAACTGCAGGAGTTATCACACAGATTATAAACTCAAGATGTGCAAATCGCAAGGTTCTTTGAAAGTTCATCTTAAAAGGAAAAACACTGGACAAAAAAACGAGGGTTCTTCTCTCCATCCCTTTTCTCTGCTTCTCTGCCAACTCTCCATACGATAAGCCTTCTCACTCTTCCTGCGACATCAAAGTGACAAGTGCCTCCTGTCAGGTAGTCCCTTGGTGGTCATGGACCGTCACACACTAGTTCGTCATTCACATTGATCCCTTTAAACCACAGGGAGACCTTCGAGATCTTGCCGCGAGTCACTCTGCAGAGCCGAAATGCAGTTACAGTGTTGAAACCCACCCCCCCCCCAAAAAAAAAGAAAGCAACTGAGTTTGGTTTTTGTCGTCGTCTCTTCCCCGCCAGTTTAAAGTGAGATACAGTACTCGTCAAATGACAGACCAAAGTGTGACGCATTCTAAGTGCTCAGAGACAGGAATACATGCTCTTCTAACTCCTCCCATCACACTGGAATCTGCGAACAGTGGCACCCTTGTTGTCCTTTGCCATGAACGCGTAATAGGACTAGAGCGCAAAGACACAAAGGTTTCTTTGCTAACCCAGCGCAAGAGCTTCCGCTGCTCTCACTCACTGGCACCTTGCGTCCCTCCTCTTGGAAGTGACGTCAAGGCTAGGACCTGATTGCTTTTGCTAACACTGCACAGAACCAGCGGTGTGGGTAGTCCCTTGCCCCAGCCCCAGTCCCAGCCAGCCACCCCTCAGGGTGTAGACCAGGGGTCACCTGGGCAGGGCCTTCCCAGCCACTGCGAACACCCTAGCAACATCGCTGCACCAGTAAAGCAGAAATGAAATCCCATGTGTGGCAGTTGCTCTTTAAAAAATATATATATATTTATATATATCAGTGCAGTCAAGGCCCCATAGGGGGAAATATATCTCTATATGATTAAAAGTTGCTTTTATTGTAAAATATGTTGGAGAGAAAACCATTCATTGAAATGGAGGAGAGCGTTCCTTTCCATCTGCCACCTGCCCAGAAACTGCATTCCCGATGCTGACTTTGAATGTGAGAACCCCAAGAGGATGCTCTGCTCTGCACCGCATCCCCGCCTTGCCCCAGCAAGCCTATGCTGATGGCAAGAGAGTGACACAGAGGGAGGCAGAGAAAAAGAGACCCTCAGAGGTTCTGCTGCTGAGGCACCCAAGCACCCCCAACAGGCATGCACCCTTCCACCCCTGCAGGGCCCTTCCCGGTGGACTCCCAGGGACACCTGTGGCACTCGGGCTCCATAATGGCTGCTGGGGGAGTCAGGCACCAGGAAGCCACATTCGCTCCCACCCAGTACGTCTGCCAAAGACCCTCCCTGCCACTCCCCGACAGACACTTGCGGACAAAGCGTATGCACCAGTCTCCTGTGACACCTGCTGTAACTCTAATGACAAGGTTAGAACAGAAATCTAAAGAGGAGGATAACATGTAAATACTGTGTTATTTAGCCTACAGTACAGTAATCTGGATACGAAGGGCACAGGACAGCCGCATCGCGTGGCCCATGCTTTGTCTCTACTTGCCCACGTTAGACCGGCCCTCGATGCAAATCTTGACCTCCTGAGGAATCAGAGAAGGCTTGGGAAGAGTCAAAGGCGGCTCGTCCTCGGACTTCTCCAGTTTGCGCGTCTCGGGTGCCGACCACCTCCTCTTCCTCATGGCCGTGGGCTTGCTGGGTTCGACTTTTGCAAAGAAGGGCGCTGAGGGCAAGCCCATCTTTTCCGGAAACTTGAGTTCCCCATTCTCAGACAGCATCTGAGCACTTCCCTGACTGACCCCGTTCTCCTGCTCGGCGTACCTGTGTCTGCTGCCCGCCAGGCTGTCAGTCTTTGCATGCTTCAGCAGGGCGCTGGCAGGATCGGCGGGCTGGCCCTTTTTAACAGAGCCATTCTTCACGTTCTTGAGGGTAAGCGAGATGCAGACGTCCCCAACTGAGAGTTTGGAACACGGCAAATCAAAGAGCTGGCTGGTTCTCTCTGGACAGCAGGACGACCAGCCCTGTCCAAACACAAAAAAAGGATACTCCACCAAGACTTCCACGCTTACCTGTGGGAACAGGGCGAGACAAGGAGGGTAGACAGGAAGGCAGTGAGCGAGAGCATTGCAATTTTCATTTTCTACACACGCACACAGGCTGCATGGGGGGAAAAAAAATTACACTCAACTAACAAACGTCCCCTTGCTAGCAACACAACACAAGAAAGCTCTTCATTGCATGTTGCACCTGCATTTTCTAAATAGAGATGCTGGGTGGAAACTGATGAGAGAACTGGCAGGTGCAATAGTCCATGCAGTATTCAAATGACTTGACTAGGAATGAGCTCCATCCCCAGCCCCCTCTTAGCACCAGTCAACTGGGGTCACCACTGTGGTGCAGTGGGGTGAAACCACTGCCAGTAATGCTGGGGTCCCTCTTGAACGCCATCTGTGTGCTGCCTGCTCTACTTCCAGTCCAGCTCCATGGTAGGAACAAGGCTGCCGGGGAAGAGACTTAAGGACAATAAACCAAAGGTCGGTACAGGCATTTGCCAAACAACCAAGGTCAAGGGACTGCCATGGCTCCAGGCTGAAAACAGACCTGAGGTTTTTAGCAGTTGAGTTCTCATGAAATAAATTTCTTTATATACATTTTAAGACATTTAAAAATGTGTAAATTTCACACTTGTGAAGGCTTTTCTATAACAATTTCTGTATGCAAACAGCAATAAAGCAGTTTAACAAGATAGTTTTCAATAGCCCTTCTAGATGTATCAGATCAGGCAAGTTGGAACAAGCTCTCTACGAAGGAAAAGTGGAAGCTCTCCAACAAGAAAAACCTAAAGACAACACAATTTAAACTTCTGAACAGAATGTGAACATTTTTGTTGGAATTGGTGTTGTGGTTTACAAGTTAAGCTGCCCACCAGCTATGACACTGGCATCCCACGTGTGTGAAGGCTCACTTCCAGCCGCTCCACTTCTGCTCCAGCTCCCTGCTAATGTGCCTGGAAGAGCTGCAGAAGATGGCCCAAGTGCTTGGGCCCCCTGCCCTCCTTGTGGGAGACCCAGTGAAGTTGCTGGCTTCCCTCGGAGGGAGGCCCTGTTGGGAGTGAGTCACCAGATAGAAGCACTCTTTCACTTTCTCTGTAACTTTGATTTTCACATACATACAAACATACAAAAACATACATCTTTGAAAATACAAAATAAAAGAATCCCCTTATATTTTAAGGCACTGACCAAAAAAAAAAAAAAAGTATTAAAAAAAAAAAAAGAGGGCCCGGCGCAGTGGCGCAAGTGGTTAAAGGTCCTCGCCTTGCACGCCCGGGATCCCATATGGGTGCCGGTTCTAATCCCGGCAGCCCCGCTTCCCATCCAGCCCCCTGCCTGTGGCCCGGGAAAGCAGTCGAGGACGGCCCAAAGCTTTGGGAACCTGCACCCGCGTGGGAGACCCAGAAGAGGCTCCTGGCTTCGGATCGGCATAGTATCGGCCCGTTGCGCTCACTTGGGGAGTGAATCATCGGACGGAAGATCTTCCTCTCTGTCTCTCCTCTCTCTATATACGTCTTTCCAATAAAAAATAATAAAAATAAATCTTAAAAAAAAAAAAAAAAGAAACTTACTGTGTCAGATCACAAAGAGTGAACGCGTATCCCAAGTCAACTTTGAATATTCCAAAGTAGAGCAGTTATAAGATTAAGCAGGCTTTGAGGAGCATTTTAGCGTGGTGTGGGTGTGTGTAGGGAGTGGAAATCAGGGTCCCCTAAGGGACAGTGATCTTTGATGAACTCCACTGTTTTGGTCTATGACCCCAACCACAGTGACTTAACCCCAGAAGCAGATAAGCCTCTCAAGACAGGGATTGCAAATCTCAACATCTCAGTTTCCAGCACTGGATTGAGGTCTTGAATTATTTCCACACTCTGGCTTCACATTCAGTTTTAAACGGGAGGTGGAATGAGCAGAACAAATAAAGACAACAAACCCACAGGGGTTTCTGATAAGGTCAGCAGATAGAGACTTCAGAATGACTCTGTTTACCATATTTCAGGAGATTAAACACAAGCCTGACAAACTGGGAAGAAAACTGGAACCCACTTTTAGATATTCTAGAATTGATAGATTCATTAAAATCAAGGTTATAATTTCCCAACAGAGTAGAAATTGTTGGAGAGAGAATTAGTGAACTGGATTAAGAGCTTTAGAAGGAACTACAGAAAATGAATGGGATTTTAAAAAATGGATGTCAGAGGGCAACAGAAGGTCTAACAGATGTATAATTTGAATCCTAGGTAGACAAAGAGGCAGAGGTAATACTTGAGGAAATACTAAGAATTTCCCAAACCAATGTGAATCAATTCATCGTTCCAAGAGGATATAACCTCAAGAAAGAAAAATGAGAAGATGTCTTCTCCCAGACACGTGATAGCTGTAAGCCAGAGACAAGGCACAAAATCTTAAATAACTCTAGATAAAACAGACATTAACCCAGATAAGGAACAGTTCAGATCACATTTTACATCACCAAGGGAAAGAATTACCAACCAAGAATTCTGTACAGAACACAAAGATTCTTCAAGAATGAAGGCAAAATAAAAACATTCCAGACAAACAGTAATTAAGAAATCTCACCTGCAATGAACTGCTCTTCAGAAAATACTAGGAAATAAGTAAACTTTCAGTAGGAAAAAAGGAACAAAGAATGTTAGGAACCAGTACTGTGTGTTCTGGTAGCTAGGGCTACCACCTGCAGCACCAACATCTCCAACAGGCACCACTTCCAATCCTGCTGCTCCACTTCTTTTCTGGGTCCCTAGTAAGATGTCGGGGAAAACAGCAGAGGATGGTTCAAGGAATTGGGCCCCTGCAGCCATGAGACAGAATTGGGAGGAGCTCCAGGCTTTGGCTGTTGTGGCCACTGGGAGAGTGAACCAGCTCTCTATTTCCCTAACACTCCATCTCTCAAATAAATAAATAATTTTAAAAGAAATCTAGATCGTGATTTGTAGTTGCAGCGAGGAATACAGAACAAGGAAAATGTCTCTATGTGGGTAAATCAAACCGAGTATCATCTATACAATTACAGTAAAAAATGTTCCACTGAATTTGAAACACGTGAGTTATATACGAACTCATAAATAATTAAAATACCAATGATATTGTAAAAAGCAGTACACTTCCACGGAATGGACATGGGGTGTGACTTGCCTGCTTCTTTGCCCTCTTTGACAACTCATTTTAGTTCTACATACACTTCTGGAATGATAAGGTTTACTTGATGTACATATATGGTTTTGGAAGAGGCACTGGAGAGAACATTTATGGAAACCCACTTCTGTTCTGTGTGTATGAGCATGGGCGTACACACACGCATGGGCACACTCTCTGGGGGAAATTCCACCATCATTCATTTTTGTTTTATTTGACAGAGAGTAGAAAGGGAAGTAGAATTGGTAGACAGTGGGAATGGGAAGGGAAGGAGGATCAGGCAGATCTTCCATCAACTGATTCACTTCCCAAATGCCTGTTAACAGCCAGGGGTGAGCCAAACAAAAGCCAGGAGCCTGGAATTCAATCTGGGTCTCCCACAGGGTGTCTTGGGCTATCACCTGTTGCTTGTCAGCATGTGTGTGAGCAGGAACTCAGATCAGAAGCCGAGCAGCTGGGATTCTAAGCAGGCACTCCACTATGAGGTACAAGTGTCCCCCTTAAATCATTGTGCCAAATTCCTGCCCATTTTGGATGGTTAATGATGTAAAATCAGCTAAAAATTCTATGTTGTGGTTGCACCATGGTCTGTATGTTTCTCCCACTTCCAGTTGGAGCAGTTCCCAGGATTAGGGAGACATCAGGTGTCCTAATAACTAGGATGTGGGTGGTACTGATCTTAATGGAACCTGCTGGCCATTAGGTCTGAGGACCACCCAGACCTATTTTGACCTGCAGGATGCCAAAGTCAGTATTATTTTCTCGGGGGACCAATGCAATGCACTGAACTCAGTGAGTTCACTCCCAGCTCAGCACACAAGCAGCTCACTGTTGTCCCTTCAGTCTCACAGCCTTTGCCATACTGTACAAAATGGTCCCAATGTGCCACTGATGGAGTTCTGGATCTGCTGGGCAATTAGATCTGGGGGCTACCCGGGCCTATTTTGGGTATAACCTGTAGGATGCCACGTTGGTGCAATAGACTGAGCCAGAAATTAGTCTGTTACATGATTAGTGCACGCGCAGTCACATCCCACAGCCTTTACCTGGAGTGGCTCTGGGCTGTGAAAGCCGGTGAACTCCCCTTCACACCTGGCTGCCGGTGGAGCTCTGGCTGTAGGTGGATCTCAGATGACTGCTCGCTGACTGGCACTGCAGTATCTGGTCCACATTGCAGTATCAGTACCACACTGACGTCTCCGCTGCTTTCCCATGTCTGTCAGTCTCCAGGTGCCCCTCTACCATTGGTCTATCCTCTCGTATTTCCTGGAATGTGTCCTCTCTGCTTCACCCTGGCTAATGATTCTCCATCTGTTTAAATGGATGTCCTTACCCTATTCTGCCCCATCTTGATTCCCTGCCCATCAAATTCCTTTTAATTCCATGTTCCCAAGACCTTTCAAAGTATCCCCATATATACAGACTCAGTATCCCATTGCCAACATGTTAGGGATCTGAATTGCTTTGGGTTTTGGAGTATTTTGGATTTGGGAACATTTATGTACACTTCACTGGTTAAACATCCTTAATCCAAAAATCCAAAACTGGAAATACTTCCCAACCTTTTAGCATTATGTAAGTGCTCAAAAAGTTTCTGAGGGGGTTTTCAGATTTGGGATGCACAATCCACATTTGCATACACATATACAGAATTCCATGCACAAAAAGCCACATCAGATGGGGATGTCCACTGAGGTCTAACTGGGAATGCCCACCTGGACACCACTCCACAGATCCTCTCCCAAATAGCTTAGAGCCATTATTAAACTGAGCAGAAGGAACACGTGCTACATCAAGTGACATTTGGGAATTGTTTAGCTGGGTTTCCAAGTCATAAAAAAACCCAAGTTCTCAAGTAT